TAGTTGAAGACAACAATATGTAATGTAACAACCACTGTTGATTCCTATCATTTTGTCTTGAAACTCTGTATCACTTTTAATGTTCTTGCTTTGGTTTGTTTATGTTTGTGATGCTGGTATGTTGCTGTTGTTCTTTTTTCTTTTTCTCATTTACTACTCTTTAAAATAAAATTAAAAAAAGAAAAAGGAATCCTTCTACATTGTTGGTGGGAATGTAAACTAGAAAAACAAATATGAAGTCTTCCAAAAACTAAAAAGAAAATTATTATTTGCTCCAGCAATACCACTACTTGGTATGTTCCTAAAAGAGCTAGAGACAGCATGCTATAGTGATATATGCATACCCGTTTTTATCGTGTATCATGGCACAATTCACAATACCCAAGTTATGGAAACTTAGGTGCCTGTCAACAGATGAAAAATAAAAAATGTGATATCTATATATCTATACCTATATCTATACCTATATTATCCTCTATCTATCTCAAAATCATATAGGAAAATGGATAGAACTGGAGACAACAATGTTAAGGTTAGTAAGTCAGGCTCAGAAAGACAAGCATCATATGGTTTATCTCATGTGGAATCCAGGGGGAAAAGATTGCATTGAGGCAGAGAGGAAAGCATTAGAGAAGAGGAAGGAAGACAGAGACTATAGGGATGAGCGGGGAAGGGTGAAGGAGGGCAATATGGTAGTTGATAGGATGGAAAATGCCAATCTAGGAAAATGCCACAGTGAAACTCATTCCTCTGTATAATCAATATAGATTAATTAAGAAAGGAAGAAGATGCAGGATCTTGTTCATGACTTTGGGCAAGAAGAGTTTGTTAGATAAGACCCAAAATATGCTAACCTTTAAAATAAAGTAGTAAAATTTTCTAAGTTATAGTTATGAATTTCTATAACTGGTGTAAGCCTGTAGTCTCCGCATTTAGGAGGCTGAGGGAGGTGGACCACATAGAGGTTGAGGCTAACCTGGACATTGGTAATAAAACCATTTTTTGAAAAGGAGAATAAGCAATATAAAATTGGGGATACCATTATCTTTTTTATCTTAAAGAAAAAGAAAAAGCCTATAAACATAAGAAAAAAATTCCAAAACAATATGATAGGAGGGTAACAATGGTCAACACTTGTGCATTGTCAGCTTTAAATTAGTTACTCAGAGTATGAGATATCAGCATTTAACTGTCCAGGAACTATTAGCACAAACCTATATTTTCAGCAAACGGAGAAATTAGCAGCATACCTATCTTAACTATTTTGTATATGTACATATATATTTTTTCCTTTTGCTTTTCCCTAACTTCTTTTTTCCCATCCTCCTAAACCAGTTTCTCTTTCCTTTTGAAGCTCCTTCCCATTGGATACTGTTATCTTAGAGGGTGAGGAGACAGAGGGGTTGGGTATAATCATGTAAGTATCTATGGCTTGATGCAAAGAAATTGGAAATTTTCTCTTTTTTTGGATTGGTGGATTCATGAGTTTTACTCTTCATGAGAACTGTGTTCATGAATTTATGTATTAATTGAAAAGACAAGATGGGAAAGTACTATAAGGAGTTAGGGTTTTAATCCTTACCATGACTTTTAAGAATTTTTTTATTTTTGTTTTATGTAAAAATTAAACAAAATTTCATAACAAAATAATAAGAAAATAGCAATAGTTCATACACTGTGTATTGTTATCTTCAAAGTAGTTACTCAGAGTGCAAGGTATGGGCACAAAAACTTCTCCAAACGATATCAGCACAAACCTCTTTTCAATAAACTAAGAGAAACTAGCAGTATAACTATCTTGCATTTTGTTTCCTTGTTTGTTTTTTCCTTTTCCCTTCCTGTCTTTACCATAACCTTTAACTTGCCTCTAACTGCACTGACATCGTCCATCACCTTTTCCAGAGGCACATTTCCATTATCTGTAACACAAAACATAAGGAGTTGTGGTAAGGACATGGAACTTTTAACAAAATTGTAAATTAGAATTAGGGTCCAATGAGAGTCCAAAGTATTTTACTAAATTATACTAAACTATCTGTTCACCTTAAATTTATATTTCCTAATTTGAGTGTTCGGCTACTCATTAGGAAGCAGAACCATGGATGATGGCCCATTTCCCTTGAACACAGGGTTTGACCTTGACAACTGTACTGTTTCCAATTCTTGGCTATTTAGAGACCTTCCTGCAAGCATGGTAAGAGATGCCCCCCCATAAAGAATGAGGGTTTTTTTGGTGAAACTTACATCTATCATAGATACCAAATTACAAGCTTTATATTTTTCATCTATTTCCAGTATGCTTTTCTTTCAAGTTTCTAGCTTCTGTATCAGTCTCAAAATTGTAGTGATAGTAGGTTAGATACTCGAGGGCATATTAATGATGTTCTACTACTCCCTATCACGAATACCTTTCTATTAACTATTTCTGGCTGTCTTTGTTCTTCACTCCCCATTTTCCACCCTGCTCACATATTTGTTTTCCCCTACTATTCTCTGGCTTGATTACACTATGTCTTCTCAGCACTGCTCACAGTTGAGCAGGGTGATAACTTCAGATGAGTAAAAGCGACAAAACAAGATTTCTTCTTTCTGGCCAAGTTCTTTTTCACTAAAAATGTTTTAAATTCCTCAGATAAATCTAATTTTAGAAACCCTATACATGATCCTAAGACTCGAAGCTCTCTCTTAAAAAGCAAAGTAGTTATTTAAAATGCTTACCATCAGTACGCTGATTTTGTACCACACTTTTAAGTTCCGTATTTTTTAGCTTGATCCCCATGTTCCCTAGAATTGCTTTCAGGTTACTGAGATCAACCTTTCCTCCTTAGGAAAGAAACAGGAATGTGAGCAAAACCCAATAAAGATACAATGTGCAAAATACTTCTCATGCTAAGTTAATTTAACTTTTAATAGGCCTGGTTGTAAGAATTAATTGGAATTATATTATTGGGAAGTGGTTTGCCAATGAATTACCATGCTCCTTTCAAAGGGTTATAAGTCTTAGATCACTAATTTTTACAGAAAAAGGTTGTGCCAGAGGGGCGAGGAGTAAGTGTTGATTATCTTCTTATTTCTGATTATATTATTTATAATAAGTTATAAAAGAAAAAATTCAAGATGTTAAATAGGGTATTATTAGCGGTATTATTAAACAAACAACTGCATTCCTACTGTAAAATTATTTGCCTAGTAAACAGACATGAAACAAACCGTGAACGATGCCTGAGCTGTCTATACAGAGAAGGCATATACGAATATCAGACTATGGTAATCAATCTCTGAAAAGGTCAAATTCTCTCTAAATCTGTCACATCATGAACATCTCAATTCAATGTGATTCTTGTATTAGACATCAGCTATATATCATGACTCTTATTCATACAAACTACTTCACTGAATTGCTCAGCTTGGTATAATAATCTATTTCAATACTGGAGGAAAAAGTGACCGTGTTAGACTTGTCAAGACTAATATGTTGACTTTTACATAAGCTGACAATGGGATTTCTGAGAAATTCTGACTTTGAGATTTTTGATATTTTAATTATATTGGACTTCAAATATTGTGACTAGTTATGATTAGATATTAGGACTATGAGTTGAGTGGTTCTAAAAATATTTTACTTAATGGGCACATAACATTTTTATATCAAAAAAGTAAAACCGACAGTTCACAGATGAGTATTATGATGGCTATTTTCTGCACTGTGCGGGCCAAAGCTTTAATTAGACCTACCCAAGAATACACAGAGAGACAACTCTGGAGACACTTAGGACTTTTTTCCTTTGAGCCTGACTGAGATCAAGCTTATGCAGCATGCACAAAAAAAGACTCTAAGGTCAATATATAATCAATGTATAGAAGAAGTAGCAGAAGAATCATGACCTCATTTACTAGAAGAAAAAACAAACACAAAGATTGAAATATACTTTCTCATAACATTTATTACTCACCTTTGAAAGACTTCAAACCTGCCAGCATCCTGTTCCGAAAAACTTTCTTGTCACCTGTAAGAAAAGGTATAGCTTAGGACAGAGAATATATCTTGAAAAGAATATAAGGATCAGACTTTCCTTTGTGTGACTGACGTTGGTATAGTGATCCTCTTCCACCAGCAATTCATGATGAAATTAAGCAACAAACTGTCATGGTAGGGACAGATTATTTAGTGTAGAATTCAAGAGTCTTTGTTTAAATTCTTGATCTTGTTACTAACTAGCTTTGTGGCATTAAGCAACTCTATACCCATTTCCTGCGGTGTGAAATGGGGATAATGTGTCCTTATTGTGTGTCATGAGAGTGGTATCTCCACATCATTAGGACCAAATAAGTGCTAGATGTTATTATTAATAGATCTACTTACTTCTAGACACACAAGGCAACTGTTGATTTATTTACTATAGAGCTGAAAGCCACATATTTATCTTTTTTCTACTTTCAATTCCTCTCCTTATTTCTATGACACTTTAATTCTACTTTCTTTGCTTCCCCTTACTCCTAAAGTTTGCAATGCCCATGACCTAAATGGTGGCAGCAAAGATTTCTTAGCCTTTAACAATAAAGCCCATACTTGAAGATTTTGCCAACTGCCAAACTGATATAAAAGTAAGGAAAAAATTAATTTCTTAGTATCTAGCATAAGAATTACTTGTAACGATGGACAGGCCTTTGATGTGAAATGATTTTTAGGCTCATATTGGGAAGATGCTGAGAGATTGTGCTTAAAGGCAAGAAGAAACAGCATTCACAGTTGAGAGGGGTGAGAAATTTGGTATCTTTCCAGAAATTGGGAGTAAACGGAAGAGTTTTCAGTGCTTATCCCTGTGAGGAACAAGGTGCGGGAGAAGAGACTCCTCAACGGCAATGTATAGAAAAATGACCCTGGGGGAGAAAAAGAGTTTTGCATGAGGACTTCTGCAATGTTTACTGAAAGAAGATGAAAATCTTTCCTCCTCTGCCTTGCAGAATCAGTAACATTTTAAGAAAGAGAATTTTTTGGGGGTTGGATTCTCTGAGTTGACACAGAGTGATAGCCTGTTCATAAAGAAATAAGAGCTGGAGGATGGGTGCGGGTAACATTTGAACACACATCATTTTAAAATACAAAGGTCAAGAGTAGAACCATAAAACTTAAGCTTTCTGGGGTGACACATATGTAGCTCACCATCAGCTGGCAGTGAGTCCAGCAGATCCACACATTCCTTATCATTGACTTCTATTCCCATGTCTCCAAGAACATTTTTCAAATCGCTAGCATTAATCTTCTCTCCTTTGCAAAAGACAGTGAAAATTTAAAAAATTAGTAGCTTGATATTTTAAAGAGGTTCATAAAAACATGTTAACCTGTATAAACTATGAAGGTATGGTGTTTCATATTTACAACAGTTTATATGGCTGCAGTCTCCATTTGGGGTTAAGGAGCAAAGACAAAATGGGATATCCAAGCAGAGTGTGCCGATATAAATAAAAGCAAACCTACTGCTATAATATTAACACAGTGAAGGCTCTCTCATTGTTAAGGATACTGTGTAGAATGAAATCTCATCAACAAATTGGTTAATGAATTGTCAATAGGAAGAATTCTGGTAATAATTGAACTGGCATATAATAGGTCATTCACAAGAACATTATCTTGACCTTTCCAAAATTTTATCTAATTTATTAATGTTTTTACCTGAAATATAGCTATTTATATGTAACCAAGAGAAATATATAAGTGAAAAAAATAACTCTAAAGTATATAGGACTTACCAAAACTAAGTTTTATGGTTTTTGTTTTTATTTATAGAGATACTAAAAGATCAAATAAGTTTTATCAGGCAGAAATATTTCACAATAACTAGCTAAAATAATATCAACAATTGGTGAACAACATCTAAAATGCAATTTACTATACAGCATTAGGATATCAGTGTTATAAAAACAAACCTGTAAAATCTTTCATTCTCAGCATCACATTTTCCAGATCAATTTTCCCATCAACTGTAAGAAACAAAGCAGTCATATACCAAGAGTGTGAGACTATTCTTTTTATTTTCTACACCTATGACACTTACCCCAAACGGAATGTTGATATTGTCTTAATTTTAGTTCTAGACTACTACGTTACATTTTGGTGTCATATTTACTTAACTATCAGATCTTTATGTTATGTCTTCTACTTTGCTTCACACATCTCACTGCTTCCTTTTGTATTGATTTTTATTTTTATTAGAATACATTTTCTAGTAGTTTATTTAGAAAAAAATCTGCGAGTTAAATCTTTATACTTTTGTATGTCTGGAAATGTCTATTTTATCCTAGAATTTTAGTGTTCAAAGTTTTCTGTAGCATTTGGAGAACAATATTTTTCTATTTCTTCCTGAATCCAATGTTGACAATATGAATCAGTACTGGTTAACCCTTTGTGTGTGGTCCTTTCAACTATTCATAGGTTTCTTTGGCCTTGATGTTGTGAAAATTTTCAAGAATCTTTAGGCATAGGTTGAAAAAATTTCATCTTGCTTAACACTCAGTGAACTTTTTGAATCTAGGATGGTGAGAATGAATAAAGAGGAATAAAATGACGATATGTGAGTAATCCTGGAAGGAATATCAATTGTATAAAACAAAAAAAAAGTTGGGTAAATGGATTAGTAGAGTGAAAATTTGCTAAGAATCGTGTGTTATCTTGGATAAGAGTTAAAGTCCACTAAAGCATGGGCTTAGGAAAAATAAATTATGTATGTTGTAATTTCTAAGATAACCTTTAAAACTCTATACAAACAGAAAAAAAGATAAAAATAACCTAAAAGGAAAGTCAGACTGGAAATAAGACTGAACAAGTGATAAAAAGAGAGGAACTGAATAAAAGTAGTTTTAAATACAGATATCAGTAACTTCAGAATGACTATTACTATATAATAATGTAAATGATAGATTCAGACTATAATATTTTTTGTTGAAGATTTTACATATTTCTTTATGAGAGAGATTAACATGTGGTTCTCCTTTTCTGTGTTCTCTTTAAGTTTTTGTACCAAGTTAGGTTAATTTCAAAAATTAAATTAGGAAATGTTTCTTCTTTTCTCTGTTCTTTGAACATTGAGTGAGATAGGCATTAGCTCTTATTTATACTTTAGGTAAAATTCACCAAAGTTGTTGTTATGGCCTGTATTTAGATGTCCCCACAAAGCCTCATGTGCTCACAGGTTGGGCTTTTCAGAGGTGGCTGGTTTTAGGGGGTATGAATGTGCATTAAGGGTGTGTGAGTACAGATTAAGGATGCAATAACTAAATTAGTCCAACTATTGGTTTAGCATACCTCTGGGTGTGGATAATGGGATGGCCCACCTTGGGTGTAGGTGGCACCACCTATAAGGATTGTAGCCTGGATGGGATAAAAGGGAAAGGGAGGCGTGCTGCTACTTCACTGTTTTGCTGCCTTCTGCCAGTCATGCCATGAACTATTTCTCCTCTGTGATGCCCCTCTGCCATGCCATTTTGCCTTGGAGTCAGGTGACTACAGGCTGAAACCTCTACAAACTGTGAATTGAAATAAATTTTTCCTCCTCCAACTTGCAGGTGTCAGAGTATTGTGTCTCAGTGATGAGAAATGTAACTAAGATGGAAATGATTTCAGTTTTGAAAACTTGAGAATTTATTTTACCTGAAATATAAAGATTCAAAGAGGTTGAAAATAAAAGAATAGACAGGTAGATTCTATGCAAAACTAAACAAAAGTAAATATTATAGGTTAAGTTAATTTCACAGGAAATAGGCTTTAAAAATAAAAGCATTGTAGAGATAGTAAAAGAAGTTCTAATTCACCAGGAAGATGTAAACTTGTATGCACCTATACCTGATCTCATAAACAAAGAAATTTTCAAAATCACAACAAGAAATGCAAAATTCAAAATCAGAATGAGAGATTTTAATACATCTTGCTCAGGTGTTAACAAAACAAGCACAGAAACGTCATTCAGGCTATCAAAAGTTTGAACAAAAAAATTTAAGCTTGACTTAATGAACATATAGATAATGTTGCATCTAATGATTTCAGAATGTAGTTTTTTCAAGCATGTGGGGAATATTTATAGAAAAAATTTGCCATACACTGGATTTAGGCCAAATCATAATAACTTTAAAAGGATGGCAATAAATAATAAAACATAATATTAAGAAAACAGGTCCATTTTTTTACAGCATCAAAATAATAACTCATCAAAGAATACATTTAACAAAAAAGTGCTAAACTCACCCTCCAAAAATTACAAAAAGCATTGTGAAAAAATATCTAATAAGACCTCAAGAAGATTCCATGATCATGGATTAAAATACTTAATATTGTTAAGATGGTACTTCCTGCCTCCCACTCACAAATTGATCTAAAAAATTCAAGATAAACCTTATCTAAATACCAATGGCATTTTAGCAAATTTGAGGAGCTGATCTTAAAATTCATACGGAAATGCAAGAACAGGATTTCAGGATTTACACTCCCCACTCAAAATTTGTAACTTAGAGCACTAGTGACAGTATTCAGGTTAGTGAGGCACTAATATATGGCTAGACATATACATCAGTGGAAGTGAACTGAGAATCTGGAAGTAATTTTTACATTTACTGTCACTTGATTTTAATTTTTATTTACACATAATTATACTTATTTATACAATATAGTGTGTATTTCTGTACATATACACAATATACAATGATCAGATCAGGATAATGGGTATGTCCATCTCCACAAACATTTATCATTTATTTGTGTTAGGAAGAGTCAAAGCCCTATTAGCTATGTTTAAATATTCAATCAAATGTTGTCAATAATAGCTAACCTGCTGTGCTACTGCACATTAAACTTACTACTTTTATTCACTGCACACTGTGTCTACTAACTGTCCTCTTTCCACAAATCCCCCCTAACTACTCTCGTTCTCTGGGGATCACTGTTCAATTCTGTCCCTACTCTTATGAGGTGAAGTTTTTTAGATTTTACATATGTATGAGAACCTGTGGCATTTCTCTGTGATGACTTATTTCATTTAGTATAAGGGACTCCCGGTTCCATCCACGTTTCCACAAATGACAGGATTTTAGTCTTTTTATGTGTGACTACTTCATTGTGTACATGTGCTGCATTTTACTACCCATTCATCTGCTTCTAGAAGCTCAGGTTGACTCCCTACCCAGGCTATTGTACACAGTGCTGCAGTGAACATGGAGGTTCAGGCGTCTCACTGACATACTGATTTCCTTTCCTCCAGACATATACCTAGTAGTGAAATTGCTGGCTCATATGATAATCCCATCTGGTTTTTGGCTTTTGAAATTTATGTTAGGGTGGGAGTGATGGTTTTGACTTCAACTGATTTCCTACTCTTTTTTAATACTCTATTTTTTAAACACTTAAAATAAATAGCTAGAGATGATTCCTACAATAATTAATAAATATCTGTGTAAATGTACAGTATCTGTATATCATATGCATCAATTCATCATTATAATAGTAATCATGCATAATTATATACACATATGTAATTGCTGAATAAACCTCAGTCATATGAATTTATCATTCTTTATGGTGCTGTAGGGATACAGGTATATTATAAGACATTATGTTGGCCACCTTGTGACACAGAATGTTCTAAATATAGAGTGGTTAGAGTTGCATGGCTTGTTATGAACCTCCTACATTTTGGATTTGTATCTACCTATGAGGACTATAATTTCACTTTCCACATCTTTAGAATGAAGGTTTGGAATACATTCCCAACTTCTCTCCAGATGTGACAATCTTTGTTCTTGTTATTCACCACAGGATGTTGATCGGGTGGATAATTCCATTTTTCAATATTAATTTATGTTCTCTCCAACAGTGAGCATTCTCTTTTCCTTGCAGCCTTACCAATATTTGTTATTGTTTCTGTCTTTGCTAACAGCCATTCTAACTGGAGCGAGACGCTGTCGTACTGTGGTTTTAGTTTGCATTTACCTGATGATTAGTAATGTTAAGCCTTTTTTCATCTAATTACTGGTCACTAGCATATTCTCTTTTGAAAAACATCTATTCAGGTAATTTTCCCATGTTAAATTTTACTATTGTTATTTGCTATTGAGTTCTTTATATATTCTGTACATCAATCTCTTGCCAGATGAATAGTTTGAAAATATTTTCTCAAATTCTGTAGGTTGTTTTTTCATTGTGTTGATTTTTTTCCTTTGCTGTACAAAAGCCTTTTAGTTTGATGTAATCTTACTTCTCAAAATTTTTGTCTTGGTTGCCAGTGCTATTGAGATCATATTAAAAAATGTTTGTACTTGGAAAAAATTTTTAGCTGACTGTTCCTCAGACACAGGGCTTCTATCTAGAACATAGAAAGAATTAAAAAATATCAGCCCCCCCAATTCAAAAACCCAATCCAAAAATGGGCAGCTGAGATGAAT